CCCCCCATCTTTTTTTGAGTAGGAAAACATTTTATTTCACCTAAAAAGCAAAAAATAATTTTTTTTTCTTTTACAAAAAACACCCCAAACAACCCTCCGTTCATTAAACAAAATGATTTTTATTGAACTAATAGGATTTACAAGAAATGTTTCTTCTTTTTTGTCTGCAACAATGTTTATTGCACTGAAGAGAATCCATAAATAACATTTCAGGACAATCAATGAACCGAATGAAAATATCGGAGAGGGTAACTGTACAATTAAAAATTTTTCCCCAAGTAAGGAGAGGTTTTAATACAAAGACAAAAGCTCGTTAAAAACCCAAAGTAATTGTTGTTACATCCCTGATCCTATCCGTGGTGTGGGACAGCTGGTTGGTAAGCTGGTTGGACAGTGCTGTTACCTTGTGAAATTATGAAATGCGGTTTAGCTCGCATTTAAAAACCCATGAAAAGTTTGCTTAGAGATCTCAGTCTTTGAGAAGGTTCAACTGTTTCCCCTCGGATGGATTTCGGTGAAAACTCGTAGGAAATCTAACACAGTAATGCGTTACCGTAAAAAATAAGGCAACTGAGGCTTCACTGTCATGAAGCGCTCGGTTTAGGCTGATGAAATCCGCTTCCGTCCGGCTACAGCGCCGGGTGACACGGGAAGGTAAAACCAGCGCCAGCGTTCTGTCCATGAAAGCTGTAAACAAAGAGCAGAGCGCTCGAGAGAGAGGGATGGAAGTCCCGAGGGAAACACACGGGAATATTCATTTGGATTTTAACCGTGTTCTGAATCCAGGACGTTTCGTATCGTTGCATCTATTGCCCTTTAAAAATACATCGTCGGCTCCTTAGTAATACAGCCGACTGCTAGGAGGAAAGAAAAAAAAAAAAAAAAAAAAGATACCAGAATCACGTCTCTGATTAAACTCCGCGCTGGTTTTCAGGATAATAAACTAGTTCTTGTACGGAAAAAGACTAACAACCATTTTTCATTTTTATAAACAATACATAATACATGTAGAAAAATATCAAAGAGGATAATAACAAAGGTGCAACGTCAACGAAAATAAGCTGCCTTTTCAACAAAAGCACTTTTTCATAGTTTGAAGTGTGGAAACCTTTTAAAGCTCTTCGTGTCCTCATAAAAGTCTATAAAAAAAAAAAAAAAAAAAGAGGAGTCGTTAGCTTAAAAATTCTTGCCGTGCTGCTGGGCGTACCACTGCTGCCTCTGCTTGCGGTGCTCCAGCTCGGCGAGGAGGGCCTGCCTGTACGCTTCGTACAGCTTCACGATCCGTTCCAGTTCTTTCATGAAGAGCAGCTTCAGCATCCCCTGGTAGGTGTCCAAGTCCGCCAGCTGGAAGAGCTCCCACTTCAGAATGTGATCGTACCTGTTTTGGTAGAAGAGATGCTTATCCACCGGGCGCGCACGCGGCACTCCATGCCTTTTTGTTTTTTTTTTTTAAGAACCGGCCTCGCGGTTGTACAGCCACCCGCTGGGTTTCCAGCCATCTACGTTAGCACGACTGCCGTGCAGAAACAAGGTAAGTGACACCAAGAGACGTGGAGCTGTCTCTCAAAGCGAGCTGGAGAAACATCGCTTACAGCTGAGCTGCCGAATCACTCCTAATACTCCAGGATAAACTCTGGAACTCCTAAAGATTAACTGATGATAATAAACCAATGGAGAAAACGCATTTTGGAAGCATTAAACCAGCGCTTCCGTTCACCCAGCCTTGAAGATTTAGTAGTAAAACATTTTTTTAAATTGGAGTAACACAAGAAAAAAACCCAAATTGTTTCAATATTTTCCCCCCTAATCTCCCCATCGTGTTCCTGCCTGCAAGTCTTCCCTCACAACACCTTCTGTTCCCAAAGCATTCCTGTTCCAGCCTTAACGAGCGCTCTTGGGCACCGTCCCCCTCTTGGTTAATTAGCAGCAATGACCTGAGTCGGTGTTTCTCCAACTGGGGGTCATGAACCCCACAGGACCATGACCTGGGGCATTAATTAGGTAGCACCGGTGAGGGCTGAGGGACAGGGCAGAGCTGATTAGGCCATAATTAACAGCTACAAGTGCTGACAGCAGCAAGGGACCTCCAGACCACGGGCAGTGACCTGTCTGCCCCAGGGGAGCAGGGTGGGGGTCAAGCTAAAAATCCTACGTGTTCTTATGCTCCACACTGGGGAAAAAAAAAAAATGAGCTGCCAAGGACCTGGGGAGTTCCCCTGGCGATGGGAGCCAAGAGCCTGAAACCCCGTGGCGCCACCCCAAGCTCCTCCTTCAGGAACATCCGACCTAGCTCCCTGCCTGCGATGGAAACCAGCTCAGCCGTGAGGTCAACCAATTGCTGTTGTATTTTTTTCCCCCCGCTTCCACCAGTTACAGGGAGCTGGCGGTTGAGCGAGGCACCAAAGCGCCATCCACGCCGTCAGCGCTTGTGCCTCCAGGAGGGAGAGGGACCCTCGGCAGCCGTGCAGAACGTGAAAGCTCGCACGGGAATACCAAGCGGCGCGAGGAGGGGGCTACAGACAGGCCGGCTCCCATGGCAGCCACGCTCCTCCCTCTCCACCGTGGAGCACAGCGTAGGTGAAAACAAACGGCAAAGGAAAGCGGAAGCGCGGCATCAACCCAGGAGGTGGGAAGAAAGGGCGTGCGAGGAAAGCTGCCGAGCGCCGCTCAAACACTCCTGGGTTAGAGAGACGCCGGCGAAGCGCGTTCCGCCTTCCGTTCGCTGGGTCTTCTCCTCTCCGACTCAACACGCAGCACTGCTTTTCTTACGAAAGCTGCAGCACGGGCAGTGCTCGTTTGGTTTGGGTTTTCCCCCCCCCCCCACTTTTTAACATGGAACAATTCTGATTTTCTTTTCGTACCCCAAACACACTTTTTTCAATTTCTGAAACACTTCAGCGTGCCCCTACATTGAGACTTTTGGGCTATCACAGCTGCTGCCACCGGTAGGTACAAACTTAGCATAGGATGAGCCCCTTCGAGCCTCCCTCGTTTCGCTAGCAGAGCTGACATGGTTTCCCAAAGGCCGCGTTTTACATCCTAACTGCCAAACGACTCCTGTGACTGATCAAGGCCATGCCATTTCCCCTGCAAGGAGTTTTCCACAATCAAAGCTGGCACCCTTAGGTCTGCGAGGGAGCTGGTCAAATGACGTCCGGTTTCGTAGCGGAGCTCTGTTCAATCATAACCTCAGTCAGCGTCGTGCTTCCGTGCCACCAATTCTTCCAAGCTCATGCTGACAATCTTTTAAACCAAACACGTGGTTCAACGTTTCCCAACTTCAGCATCCGTAATGTTTTACCTTTATATTTAAGCTATCCAAACTATTCAAAGAAAGCAAGCATTTTTATTCATTACTTTTTTTAATGGACCCCTTTTTGCACCAGTAGTAGGGGAAGGTTTCCAAGATCCTGGTAGAAAAAAAACAGTATTTCTAAAAACACTTTTCAACAAAAGTCACGGTAATTCTACCGGGGTAGGAAGCAAGGTCTCTGGCTTGTGGCCCAGACATCCAGGACTACCACCCCCATCCTGTGGGGTGATAGCCACAGGGCGATATTAAGCAGGAGGTGCTGGCATTCAGGATGTTCCTCAAGGACACTGGGCCAACAGCAAGACAACTTTTGGTGAGCAACTTACGGTACGTTAGTTCAGGCTCCGAAGCCCAAATGGTGACGGACTGGGATCTGGCTCGTGTCAGTTGAGCACTAACAGCCCACGGTGCAGACCTACCCTCATAGACTTCAGTACAGTCGTACAATAACTTCAGATAGATAGATACCAACGCTTAAAATAAACAGGCTGTTCTCTTTGATGGTCTCCTTCCACCTCAGTGTGACGACTGGAGAAGCCTGGCAGGGTGACATGAGCTAGCAGCCGTGAAGAGACCTGCTGGGCCCAGGAACAGACACTTCCCAAAGCTTGGAGGGGACAAGGGACATGGAAACAACGCCTGAGCAACTCTAAGCACAGTTCTCATTTGGGGGAATACCTGGGCTAATCTGAGTCTACCTAAACTTGAAGAGACTTGTGTGAGAGGACTTCAGGAATGTCACCCCAAAATGAGCAGGGGTGCTAATGCTACAGCATGGAATGTCCTGGCATGGGCCTGGCCAGCTCTGGGAATAGGACAAGCCACAGAATTTCCTAAGCAAGGTGAGGAAAGAGCAATTCCCAGCCCAGTTTTAACCTTAGAATCACAGAATCGTTTGGGTTGGAAAAGCCCTTTAAGATCATCAAGCCCAACCGCCCCCCTACCCCTGCCATCCCACCCCCAAACCCTGGCCCTCAGCACCTCGTCTGCCCGGCTGTTAAATCCCCCCAGGGGTGGGGACTCGACCCCTTCCCTGGGCAGTCCCTTCCCGTGCCTGACAGCCCCAAGGGGAAGAAACTTTCCCTGATGTCCAACCTAAACCTGCCCTGGCACAACTTGAGGCCGTTTCCTTTCATCCTATCTTGATTTTGCTTGATCCAAGTCTTGCTCTGCAACAGGCGTTTTAACACCACTTAATTTTGATAAAGCCTTGATGTAGTTACATCATCACCACAATACCCCCCGCTTTCCTGCTTTTTCCCAGTGCCTCTAAACACATACGATTCATTTGCAATCTGATTTTCTTAACTTGGAAATAGGCAGCTGGCTACTATAGTTATTAAAAGGATAGAAGATACTCATGGAATAAACAGAGTAATTTGATCCAACTGAGTTATGTGAGGAAATAATACTCACTTCAGTGGAGGCTGAAGCCAAAGTATCAGTAATTTTGCACAAATAAACTACCTTACGTATTGAAAAGCTGTATTCAGAAGGCTGTATGCATCAGAGAAGCACCGAGACATGCAGATGACCACCAAAGATGCTTTTGAGGAATTTTAAGAACTTAAATAACAGCTTCTATATTAAAGGTATCCCATGTCTTGACAGGGCTGCACTGCTAAAATCACTTTTTCCTCCGAAAGCGAGAAAAAAATAAGTTGCAGCTGTTTGTCAGTACGGAGACTGAACTCTAAAGAGAGGCGACTGCAAGCTGCTGCTTTTGAAGCTTTGCCAGATGCAACCATCTCTGTAAGCACTTGATTACTGAGTTTAAGCGCACAACACCTTTCCTCGCTGCTCCTTTCCCACTCATGAGCCATATTCAGTCACAGCAGGATTTCCCCTGGCGTGCCCTGCACCGACGTATCCTTTCAAATGTGCTGGGCCAATGGCATTGATTAAAATACACCCCACAGCAAGGCGGGTTCTCAGCAGCAGGACTGTTTCTTATCAAGGTGGCAATACAAACAGGAAAGAAAACAAAGCTCCATCACGGGCAGTAATGTGTTTGCAGGTTTTCTGGGGCCTGCAGCTTTTTTTTTTTTTTTTTTTTTTTTAAAAAGCATCGGCACAGGTTGCTTGGTGGTTTTTTGTTTTTTTTTTTTTCCACAGAACCTTGGTGGTTCTTTAGCTCTTTGAAGCTGTCACTGCTGACGGTTTCTCAAGAAAAGCAGCACATCAGGATTACTTCTCAGCGTGAGAGTTTCGTTTTGCCTGCCAAGAGCAGTGTTGAACGGGGAAAGAAGTCTAATTAAAGATTAAAGATTAAGCCATTAGCAGTGCCTCAATGGGAATGGGCTCATTCAAATCCAAAAGATCGCAGGTCTAGGAACACTCACCACAGAGACGCCGAGAGGAGCAGGGCCCAGAGCACCAGTACCTGACCTAGGCTCCCCAGGCATTTTTTAGAAGGGCAACTTCTGGTCACAGAGCCAGAAATCGAGGGGAGAAAGCGTGTTTGTCCAAAATTCCTGCAGAGTGCAGAGCCTTCCCTCCTGGGTGAGAAAGCAGGAGCTTACTAGACAGAACACACAGACAGAATACTCTGTCTCCGGGGCTTTTCCTGTATTTAATGTAAAATAGGACACTTTCAACACAAGAGACACTGACCTGCCCCAAATACTTACAGCCTATTGGTTAGGGCTGGAAGAAGAAAGTCCTGGGTTCAGGTCCTTGCTCCAAAAGAGGCGGGGGAAGAATCTGAACCACATTCTCTCACACAAGGAAGGCATTTTTGGTCTCCTTACCCTCACAGTCCCACGCATCCAGCCTGGCATACTGTGGGAACACCTACCAGCCCAGCCTACCTAACCTGGAGGGTGGGGAAACATTCAATTTTAAGAGTCTAGCAAAGGGTTAAATACAAGCCAGGAATCCCGATTCCACTGCACTAACATTCTCATAGCTGCACTTAACACTCTCAAAAGAAACCTTGAGGAGGAGAGGATGCTTCGAGGTATCATAAATACCTTGACACTGGAAATCGTTACCTCAAGTTGTAACTGGTCATCAAAGCCTCATCACTGCTTAGTGAGCCTCGTATCTGCTTTTTTATCTTAACAGTTTGACCATTTGTCACTAAAATAGGGAAGCGTTACGGCTAACACCTATTAAACTCACCATTAGACTTTTCCAGTGGCCAGAATTCTTATCCTTTAGAGAAACTTGCTGCAAGAAAAGCTAACATTATCTATTTTTGCTATCCTCATCTACTTTTCTCAACAAAAATGACCGGCCTTTAGTCAGCTAAATCAAGCTACAGCATCAGGCCTAAGTAACAGATCATAGCAAAATATACCACAATGATGTCAGTGCAAAACTATTGATAATCAACACAACAAATTGCAAATAGCAGATCACAAGAGTTATTGCTCTACTGCTGCTATGAAAGCATTCTGCCCTCTTGCTTCCATTTTCACCCTGGGACAGAGGAGGATACGCAGACAGTTCTCATTCTCAGCTTTTGGACAATACTACTGGAGGACTTAGAAGCATTACTGCATGTTTTTCCTCAAGCTTTAAGCCAGCTGCTTTGGCAATAGAGAAGAGGTTCATTATTAAAATTACACTGACAATAGACAAGTGATCTTGATTTTAATAACTGTGAAAATTATTTATCAGTTGTTCCTTAAGGAGCCCTCAAGACGAGGTGACACGAGCTGCTACCAATCTTCCTCACTTTTCCATTGTAATATTAGCATAAGCCAGAATTTACTTCTTCACAGGAGCGTTTGAGAGGTACAACAATATCCCTATTACCAGCAGCACTACTTTAACAGAAGGCTAAAAGGATACTGGAAAAATACATGATTTTTGATTCCTCTGAACAACAGAAATTCTATTCAAACAGCTTGAATGAATTAAATGGTTTGGGTTTTGTTCTTTTAATTTGTCTCAGCCTACTAGATATAAAGAAATTCCCGATAATCTTGCATTATTAAAATTGCCTTAGATTTGTTTCTCAAGTTTCAAAAGAAATACCAACAAGACTCCATATAACACAGACTGAAATATTTAAAACTACATCGTCTGGATGTGCCAAAGGCCCAAATAAAGAAACGCAGCTGCAGCCAAAACCAAAAAGTATTTCTAGGAACCAAGTCCTCCTGAAGGTTACAGGAACTTAGCACATCCCTGGTGCCTAAGTGTACTGGTGGATTTCAGGCCAGTTTAAGTCTTTATGGGCAAGCCCAGAAGCCACAAGAAGTAATAAAATCCATTCAAATTATAGTTACTAGAAGCAGCTTAAGAAAAAAAAAAAAAGAGGATTTTTTAGCTGGAAGTTACTGAACATCAGGTGCAGCCTGAATTTGCAGCCACAGACTAACCTGCTCATTGCTGTAAATCTGAGTTTCTTCACACTCTCCTTATGAAAAAGTACATGATTTCATAATTATTAAAACGTATCTAGATTTTTTGGTTGCTTTTCTATTTAGCGTTACTCCTCTGCAGAGCTGTACCCATTACAAAATGCAAGTTGTTTCATTATGCTGACTCAGAGCTTTTCTTTGAGGAGACTCCCTGTTCCTATAGCATTGTTTCTTTGAAAAAAAAAAAATTTTTACTACCACTTAGTTTTTAATTAAAGTTCTTGAATAGAAATACAGGTTTAAGTCTGTATTCAAAATTCTTACTATGAAGGAGAATCTATATGCCTTTAAAAAGGAGTAAGACGTACATTAAGAAGTTAACACCCTAAAAATATTTCGCATATTTTATAAGCCACGTGGTACCGTTCTCACCCCTACACTGAAAGTAAATCAAATCCTCAGCTCTCTAATGTATCATTCGGCAGTCGCATGAACCACAAGAAGTACCATGATGATTTTAAGCAATGCCTAATGCAAAGCAAACTAATGCGATGATCATCTGGTACACCTTCCTCGCGCGCTGTCAGCAGTAGTTCCTATGCAATTAAGAAACAGATACCAGCTAGAGCTCTACTTTCAGTCATCCAAATTCATTTGTTTTCTTACTAAGCTAGGCATGCATAGTGTGAAACACAGAAGGAAAAAAAACAAATGCTCACTTCACAGGAGCCCTGGCATAGACCTGCAGCCAGTCTGGAATCTCTGCAGTGTGGTAGGGGTTTGCAGGCACGAGGAGAGGCTGGCTTCTCTCAGCTTGCTGCGGCTGGTAAGTCACGGGGGGAGGCTGGTCGTAACGGGGAACGCTGGACAAAGGAAGACAGACAAAGTCCGTAACCTCCAAGCAATAACTTCGACATACTGGCATCATTAAAGTGTTAATGTTTAATACAGACATTAATACGTGCAAAGGCTGATGATGCAACCGCATAGGGAGCGTTGCCTCAGCAGGCCTATACCCAGAGGAACTTTCTGTTGCTGTTTTTGTGCTTCGCTCCAATCACAGCCGCAACGGTCGCTGCTATCTGTTAGCAACTCTGTAAAATTCACCTTGGACCTATTCACTTAGTGCCTACTACCAGGATACTGAAGCAGAACAAAAACCGGTATCTGTTTTTAAAAGATTAACAAGGCAGCTATCGATTCAGCCAAATAATCCACCATTTAATATGTTAGAACAAAAGTATTCAGGCAGCAGCTGATAAGAGTTATTCCGTTTATAACAAAGGACATCCTCATGTGTTTATCTTCCGTGCCACATGTTAAAAACTTTCCCTTCCTGGGTAACAGCAAAATAGATTGAGTAGCAGAAATTAACCGGTAGATTTGGTGTATACTGACTTTATTTTCCCTTTAATTTAGGAGTAGCTAAAAATACAGATTTTCATCCTGGAGAAGACTTAATTCATGTTTCAGATGGTATGTGCTGTTGGTCCAGACAGCCTCCTGGAACATCAGATCAAGTTTCTTTTCAGTCTACAATTAAATTTTGTTCTCAGCAACTTTGTTGTTTTACCGACAGTTGAAGAGAATAGCTGCTTTGTTTCAGTGAGTTAGGGACAATATCCTGTTTCTAAACTTAAGGCAGTAAGAGACGAGAAAAAAAACCTAACAGTTACAACAACTTCTAAAAATCTTAAGAACCAGTAAAGCTTACTTCTAAAAATAAGAAGGTTTTGGCACGTTATATACGAGACAAAAACAGTTCCACTTTCTTAACTGGATTAGGATAAAAACAATCGCAGAAGAGAAGGCAGATGCCTTACCTGGGAGCACATGGATGTTTATACTGAGCTCTTTTATTGATGTGATCCACATAATACACGCCAAATTCTGCTGACTCAACTCTCTCCCATCCTGGGGGCAGCCCCTCACGCTCGAGTGGATGGCTCCAGTGAGTTGTGTTAGTGTTATGATCTATATAGTATTTCCTTCCTCTAATAGTCCAGTCCACTGACCAGCCAGGAGGAAGAGGTAAATCTTCAGAACTATGATTTGTTAAGTTTCCTAGAGATGTAGCAGCAACTCTACCAATGCCTAAAAAAAGGAAAAGCAATGTTTAGCTAAGCTGGTAATACCCAAACCCAACATTATGTACGAAGACAACTTCCCCCTCCCACTTGAGGCACTCTATGAACTTTGAACAATACCTTGGCCTTTACGGTGCATGCACTTGTACATCAGTAAAAAAGCACTATCAAATCAAAATAGCTATTCCCTTTTAAGTCTCAATTGTTTCGATCTCCTCCAACTCCAGATTCACTAGACAGATTCACTCAGAGACAGTTAAAGCACCCTTGCTTTTTCAACTGGAGACATACATTAGCATACATAACAGAGTTACTATTATAATATTATTACAGCTGTTATTGTCTCAATTTGCAGAGAGAGCTGATGTAAGATTATAAATGTTAAAGCTTTACATAAATGACAGTCTCTGTTAACACGCTATTACAGCTGCATCAAAACTATTCATCTAGCAAAACCCCACAGCTATTTCTTTTTCTAGTTAAAAGTCAGAAATTACAACTATCTAGAAAAATCACCAAATACCAGTGAAGCTTTTCAGATTAACCAGTCGAGAACAGTAACAGGACCAGGTAAACCAAGAGAGGAGGGACAAGTAAGGTTAGCATTATATTGTGCTGACCGTTATTAGTGAAGTGCGTGTAATCACGGCCAAAAAATGTCATCAGTAACAAGAAAAAACAGAGAAGCTGGATCCACACAGGATCCTGCACAAGCCCTTTGCTGAACACAGTCATCCCACACATGCTGAAGTGGATGTTGCCACGTCTTCTTTGCTAGAGCTACCCACGCTTGTTAGAGTAGTGAATGTGCACTGCTGGGTGGGACGGTCAGGACTGAGGAATGCAGAGCAAGTCACAAAATCTCCTCGTCTCTTCTTTGCATCCTCCCCCACCTCCTTCCTCCCTCCCACAGATTTTGGAAGGAAGTTTCGTTGCCTACTAGGCGGTACCTCTGCTTCTCTACACCTTGCTCGTCTCTAAAACTAAGCACCTACGCTTCGTAACGCCAGAGAGGCACGTGAAAAAAAGTAATTCCCAGCTTTTCTTGGTGATGTGGGCTGCTCTAGGAACCGGGCTTCTCCAGGAAGAGAACTGACGCCTAGGTTGGGTGTATTGGCGGTAGGAGAGCTGACAGGAATCGGTAGGTGATTAAGTCCCCGCCTCTGCCCTAGAAATATGGCACATTTCAGATTTATCACTAAATAGCTGATCTAAGGGGCTGTTCACTAGCATGTTAAAATACGCGATTTGTTGTAACACACACACAGTTTTTAAATTTTAAAAATCAGCGTGCTGGATGCTGAGAAATGTACTGAAGAAACATTAATTCTGATTTCATCTTTTCCTTCCCTCTATTTACTACGGATACTTAGGAAGCTAGCTGAAATAAAAGCCATAATAATAATTACAGAAAATTAAAACCAAAATAAAAACCCCAACCACAAAACCCGAGCGACATAACCAAGAATTTTGCAGGTCTCTTTCCATTCCTTGGAAGCCTACTATCTATACTGGACCTGCTGGCCCGAATTCAACCCTCTCTTTAAAATTCTTCTGAACAGGTACCTTCAGTTACCCACAGTCCTACAGCTAAACAGCCCCTGGCTCTAAAGAAATTCCCATTATCTTTTCATCCCACAAGCAAATGCATCTATTTAATCACAGTATTCGCTGGAGTTTGTGTGTTACCATTTCCCATAGTCAGAAGAAGGGAGACACTTTCTCTGCTTTCTTGGAAGTCAGAAAGTGACTCCATCGCAAGCACCACGTTTACTGACTGAGGAATACGCCTCCTTCTTCTGTTTTTCAGAAATGACATTTTTGTGTGATTTTTTGGGGGGGAGAGTGGGAGAGAAAGGCAAAGTCTCTCTCATTTAAAGCATACTATTAAAAAGAGGTTTCAGGTGTGGTCATTAACTCAAAAAGATAAGAGTAATACTGAAATAGCAGCAAAATTGTTGTATTTCTCAGGCAATTTCATAATCTTGCTTGCTGACATAGGCAAAAGCCCTTTTCAAGAAGACATACACAATACAGCATGCTCGCCAGGGGATGCCATCTCCTCTAAGCATTAGTTTACCTATAAAATGACATAGACTGAAAACTGGATGGGCTCTCATTCTAATACAAGATAGCAGCCATCAACAATAAAGTAATGGGAAGGGTCCAAAGCAACTGAATAAATAAAAAAAAATTTAAAAAAATCTCAAACTTCCTCATGAGTACTGTTCTTTAAAGCATTTGTGCTCATCTACAGATCTTTTTCGAGCCATGTCACGTTCTAAACTATTTGGCCTTAAAGTATTGCCTCTTGTTATAGTACTTATTTGTTAGCTTTATAAAGGAAAGTTGATGGCTGCGTTCATGTGATAGCTCCCATCTCTCATCAGGATTAAGCAACCAAGACCTTTACTTCCAATCCTAGAGGCTTCCTGACCTTTAGCAGCACTGGGGCAGGAAAACTATTTCAGACCCTAGCTACAGTTATGTCACTGGTTTTGTTTTCATTCCAATGACAAAATACAAACATTTAAGCTTCTTGAAAATACTGCACTTCGGGTAAACAAATTTGGTATTTATTTTCTTCAGCTAACCAGAGGGCTGTGTTGTAATTTCACATACGTATAAACAGTGACTATTAAATCACCGCTACCAGAAGATCTGAACACACAAAATTGATTGGGGGAAAAGAACTTTCACAAAGGCATAGCTGGTTTTAACAGTAAACAGAAAGACCTATCTGTATTTTTGTGACAGTTCTTCCTCCTTAAATTCTAGCATGATTCCAGCAGCAAATACATATAGATTTATTCCTTGGGGTAAAGGTTAATTCTTTCTAATATTTGGAAGTTGGTATTAAAAGTTGCGCAAGCCACCCTCTGCGCCAGAAGTTCTCTCAACACAATGCCTGTATCTCTTCATACAAAAGCCAGAGCAGACTGGGAGATGGAAAGGAAAACCAATACCTGATTACGTAGAGAAATGCAGAAAGCAGGCTAAAAAAAAGCAGGCAACGCTGCACCCCACGGAAAGGCAGCACTGGCAGTTCTGTGTTTGCACAATCATTTAATTCTAGCTACATGGTTTCTCCCAATGCCAGCTTCTTTTTTAAATTTCCAAGGCGCAAAGAACAAGAATAATACCAGACCACAAACACATTGTACACTCCTTTTGCCATTTTGACTTCAAATACGAAGAAGCAGAGCCATACCATTAAGCTAAACTTACACAGCTGATGCAGTTACCAGTTCTGAACAGTGTTCCAAGCTGCTACAACTAGCAAGCTCTAGTTATGAGATCAAAGGCCAAATTTATAAATGGTTGCGAATACTTCAGGTTGTAGACTATCACATATAGTCTTAATGTGCATTTTTCCCCTTAAAATCACAGATCATATTGGAATATTTTGCGTGCTGGAAGTTTTAAGGTGTCAGGTAATATAGTGGCTTACAACCATCAACCCACTGTGGCATTCAAATTGGCAATTAGTACAATTTAGACGTCTGTTTATGTAACTGGAGTTACTAGAGATCAAAAGAAACTGTATATGGGTTTTCCTTATAAAACTCTGCAGATGCTTCCTTCAGGGAAGAGTGGATACACACAGAAGAGAAATAGCTCATGCTATGATTTTGAACAGTAAGACAAAATTTGACTTTCATATATATACACCTGTAAGTACCGATAATAAGATTGAACAACACTTTGAAGAGTAAATTTGTATGTGACCTCTTCCAGAGTATAAACCAAAGAAGTTACAAGACAGCCTAAAACCATCTACTGCCAACACTACCCTTTCTGTGTCATATTGCCCAAGTATGATACTCTTCTGTATTTAAATTTCAGGTAAGGTCTTAGCCCTAAAGCATTTTCATAGCAGCCCAAAGCTTCACATAGAATTTCACTGCACATACCAAGGATATTGCCTGAATCATGGGCTGGTACCAGATTCACATAGCACAATGCAAAATACCTACAGAAAAAAATCCCCGAACTTACAACTTGAACCACTTTTATCAAAACATCTGGTGTAAAACTTGCGATTTTCCTCTTGATGAGGATATGACCTCTACCATAGGAGAAGCAAAACAAGATTAGTCAAACCACTTCACAATAACGACTTGGGGTTTTCTTGCTTACACACCGTTTTATCTATGATGAGACAGAAATTCTCTTTCTTTCTGCTTTACCAAGAAATAGAGTTCTTTAAATTATCTGCTTTTTCCAAACGTTAGAAGTCTCCTTTCCTCTGCTAAAGTATGAGCACAGTTCTTTATAAACTCCCCGGAGTGGCACTATCAAATCTCAAGAATGGTCAACAATAAATTTAAATTTATGCAATTGTAAATCCTTTTCAGGTTGCCTCTTTGGAACTTGTCTGGCCTCATTTGTTGATTCTGTTTCCTAATGGTATACATTTGGGGCACTTTTTTGTTTTGGTTGCTGCTTTTAAGGAACATCAACATTGAACATGTTTTGTGGCTTTGCTTTTTCCTTCTCTTATGAAGTACAGTATCTTCAGTTTAAGGTCTTGAGTTAACTGTCAATCAGGCCAAGAGGCATTACATGCCGTTCCAAAGCAAAAGAAAATCCTGTTTAACACAGCTTGCTTGCTTAGAGGTATCACTCTGTATGTTCTCAACACTTTTTGAAAAAAGAAAGCGCAAAGAACAGCAACCAGTTATTACCAGTATTAACAAGACTTAAAATCCCCAGAGTCTTAAGGAGGGCCTGGCCCTATACTCAATCTTATTCACAAGATCTTCAACAACAGGGTGTCCTAATACCAGAACCCAAACTTTGAGCACCACATTCCAGTGCGTTGTAAGATACCGGTGCAAAGAGTTCCTTCATTTAATAGTCTTCTCTTAAAAACATATCTTAAGCTAATAACATCACAAATGTGAAAAAGATGTAGTATCTTCTTTCATCAAGAAAGTTCTGTTTGGTTTGTTCCATTAGTATGGAACCATAAGCGATATGTGTTCATGCTTTCACAGCCCAGTGAAGGGGTTTTATTGTAAAGGCACTCTGGAAAGGTTTCCAGGTCAGCAAAGGGCAGTTCTGGTAGAAAGCACAGGAGAAAAATCCTATCACCAGAGCAGTCCAGCATAAAGGGAAAAGAGCAAAAACATTGAGGAGAAAGACTCACTTTGTTTATCAGATACAGTGCTGATGTAGGCAGAGAAGGTTCAGAGGCTATGAACTCCCCACCACTAGCTTCAACCAAATTTCAAAGTGTTGAAGAACAAATCTGGCCAAACGAAAGGTCTTCATATTTGCCTTTAATTAGGTCAATTGTCTTGAGAACCCCTTTTCAGGATGCCAAAATCCTCTCCCTTCCCCTCATCAAACCAGGATGAGGAACAGGAAGAGAAGATGAACGAATGGTTTACTTTTAAGACAGTGCGTAATAATAAAATAGCAAAAAGAAGTTCCAATAACTATCCTGTTTAGATAGGTCTGCAGGTTCTAGGCCTTCCTAACCCATTCCAAAGCATCTGAAGGTGCTTCCTGAGCACAAGAACCTCATTTGTCAGAGGGAATGGGGCATTCCAAGTAAGCATAAATTCACAAATAGGAAACGACAGGAAGTACTTTGAAAGCTTCGAAAAGTATGCTACAGGGAAATTACTGCAAAATCAGCACAAAAGAAAAGGGCAGGAACTGCCATTTGTTTAAACATGAGCGAAGTGTACACACCTAAAAAGAAAAGCCCTGCTACTTTAGCTCTAAATAGGTTTCATTTAATAGTTTGTATTTCTTTTATTTTGCTTTTATATTAAACATGAATACCAGTTTGCAATTTTAAGGGGTACAATTTAACACAAGATGATCCTACTTTCAGTAAAGCGCACTGGATTCTCTGTGCACAGGATTAATCGTTTTTCTCCTCTGGACATCACAGTCAACTGCTTACAATCCACCATCAGAAAGTGCCTTTACACTGTGATTGTCATCTCAGCAATTTTCATATACACATAAGAATTTTTTAGCTTACCGCTCAAACAGGTACAAATAACTCTGAGGTCTTGGTTACAAGTTAGTTCCAATCTATACTGTAGATATAACTTCAACCACAGACCTCCCCAAACCTTTAACCTAGAAGAGAGGAAAGAGATGTCGAGGAAAGACAGGTAAAGTCTCTTAGAATTAAGTTTGAAATGGACACTAAACAAAATTTGCAAGAAATGCCACAGAGGTAGCTAAACACACAAAACGAGGAAATATCTCAGCTGAAGACATTTACCAGGAAAACCAGCAGCACTAGGTTGCTAATGAAAAACAAATCTAATGAAAATAAGGAGGACATGGTAGGATTGAATCATACTGAGAGAGAAAACATGACTTCAAGGAGAAACACCTATGAAAGAACACATCAATGCTGTCAACATCAACTGCTGAAAAATCATGGGACTTCCTTAAACATTTCGCTGAATACTTTGAGTTTGAAGGTCTCAGTAAGAACATGTTTTTTAACTGATCTCCAAATTATGAAGAGGAGAATCTTTATTTTGCATTAAAGCTGAAATTCACATGCACCCCTTCACTTCCAGACCACTGCTTCTCAAAAGTTACCTCAGCTGTAACCACCGCTGAATGAAACATCACTCGCCAACAGCAAGTACACCCCGTGTTCACCAGGGAACATTTCTGTAGCAATCAACCCAAACCGGAACAGAACTGACCGAGGGGACCTTCTGAGGGAGGGTGGGAGAGGAGGAAAAGGGTCGAAAGCAGCATTTACAGATTCTAGCCAATAAACAGACTTATACCTTGAAACTGTAGGTGTTAGGCAATTTTGTCATCAATTATCCCGATGAAAAATTTTGATTAGGTGAAACATTTAGAAACAACAATGGAGGCGTGTAAGGAAAAAGTAATTTAGACAAAGACAATGAAAGTGAAAAGCCTGACTCAGTATTCTGGAAATGCAGGAAAAAAGGAACCAGAAATTACAGAAAGATGAGTGTAGTTCAAGGAAAACACTGAAGCTTTGAAGACAATGGATGGTTCAAATAAAAAGATGCTTAATGGTGAGATGAAAGAAGCAAGACAACCTAAGGTTTTCTTATTTTTGGCCACATATTTCTTTTACTGAGAAAAAGTAACAGCAATTCTTGAAAAGATGTACAGATGTTAAGGACGTAGGTCAATATGCTTACTACAGTGAAACGGAGAGGAATTTGAGAGTTCATACTCCACGCTGAGATGAAAGAAAAAAGAATAAATAGAGGAAAAGGGCAACAGTTTGGCAGACAAAGGGCTCACCTTTTTTTGTCTCTCCCTACAAACGCCTAAGACTGAATACTCACTCATTACAAAGTATGTGTAGAATTTGCTCAAACCATTGAACGTAAAAACATGAGAGTGAATGACAAAGACTAACCAAATATCAGCAGCTCTTTTATGATTTCCAGTGGCTAAGGGGCCATGTAGACAAACAGGGGAGAGAGTCTTTTTAAGAAAGAAATCCATGTTGTTACAATCAAGAAAAAGATGTCTGTAAAGCCCTACTTTTGGCTTTTTTTAAAAATTTGCAAGATCAAACTCCACTTCCCAACTAATAGCTAGAGCTCCACTGCCGTTTAACACTGTTTCAATTCTACACAGCAGCAGTACCATTTTCTGAAGTCTTACTCAGCACACACAGGTACTGGAGCAGTTTTGAAGGTTAAACTTATGGATTGATTTATGAACTCCTCCCCTCCTGCCTCTCCTCCCTGCAGTATCCCAGCACACCCTACCAGGTGCTTGTTATCTGCACCAGGTAAATGTTTAATGGCTGCTGGCTGAACAACAACTGACAGAGATGGTGGGCTTCCGTGCAAAATTGAGGTAGATCAGATGTATTAGCATTTAGCAAAATAAATGAGGATAAACCAGCAAGTCTTAAACCTTAGTGTTTCAGGATTTACAGGCTGACAGCAGTAATGCTAGCATTAATCTTCTGTCACTTTTCGTTGAAATGTTTCTGTAGGAAAAGACCCACAAAGCACTGTCAGGTTATAATTCCATAGACATCAGCAGCCTTACATGTCAGTGTTCTTCCCAGCAGATTTATTTTTCTAGATCGGAGATTTATTTTACTGTAAACTATTTCCTATTTTATTTACAGATTACCAGTAATGACGAACTAACAATGTATTTCATATTGCAGGTAGATTATTTACAGGTTTGAAATGTTTGTTTCAAACTCCTCCTTGAACGTAGTTTCCATAGCATATACAGTGCTCAAACACAGCCAAATTTACTGCTTTTAAGGTCACCTTTCTATGGGCAATATTGTTACCCCACGCTTTTTATTCCACCAATAGATTCACAACAGCACACTGCACCAAAGAATTATTCTTCAGTGTCATCACAGATATAATCAAATATTTTAAAAAGTAGTACTTAATGGATTCTTCTTTTCTTATGCTGTTCTTCCATTAGAAAACAAAGACAAGCTCGAGTGAATTTGAGGGGGAAACAGGCATATTTACAAATGATATTACAAGCTAAAAGAAAAAAAATAATCTAGGACTAGGAAGTCAATTTCAGCACTAACTATATGTCAATTTTCTAATTATACAAAGCAGTCATTCCTCCCTTTGACTATTTATAATAAATTATTTTAATTATTGAGGTCAAATTAACACAATAAAATTAAATAATCACATAATGGTAGTTAGAATGTAGTAACATAAAATGGCAATGCTTTAATTTAGAGCTGTTGGTTATTCTCTACACCTACAATAGCAGATGTTCCCTAATGAATAAAACTCCTTGCTAGTTAGCAACTGAATCAACTTGGTCATGAGGAGTTGTATATATGCTTGGCATTAAAAAAAAATCCAAACTTGCTCAACCTTACCCCATGTATTTAATGAATAAGTCATGGTTTACATATACTTTTTCCTTTCTGGATATATGCAGCCAAACTCTTAACTCTAAGAAACATGAACACGTAGTGTACTCGGATCACAGGAATGTCATTAAAAAGAAGCTCTGTCCCGCACAGCATAACTCCTAAAAACATGACCCTGATCATCCAGATACACCTCTGCACCTGAAGTCTTATCAAAAACATTTTAAAAAGCCAGCAATTAATCAATACTTACCTGAAGTGTGCCTCCCATGATTCTGTGACATCCTCTGGAAAAGATCGCTGTTGTGTTCGTAATACCTGTAGTCCTCATGTACGCGATCATTTAACTGACGTCTCCTCTGGGCATCATAAAAATGATCGTAATAGTAACAACGGGCACCAGCATCTCCATTTTCCAAACCAGAATTAGCTTCTGTTAAAAAGGACTGGGAGGAAGAGCCATATTCTCTAGGGACATCAGCTAAGCTTCTTGCGAGATAGGAAGGCGCAGACAGTCTGTTGCTTTCACGTCTCATTATTTCATGAGGTGGCCTCTGCACCGGAGTTCGAAGGAAACTCTGGTTTCTGGAGACAATTCCATCTCCACCAGAAGCATATGCAGAAGAAGTTGAGTCAGGAGGACAGATATCAGTTCGTCTTGGAATGGTTGGACCGTGACGGATAAATGAAGGCATCAGATCTGATATATAGCACGAAAAGAGAGATAAGAATTTTGGCTGTACTAACACATAAAGCATTTGGTTAGCCACAATGCTGATTTACACCACGGAACTGAGGAAATTCAAATGCTAGAACCCCTTTAAGGCGCCTGTAACACATATGCAACTATAGTGGTAATGCTGCAGTTCGTACTGGTGCAACAGAAACCATCACACCCTCCACCAGCAACAAACTATTGCCAGGAAAGTGCAGTTTTGCTAGTATAACTGCATCCACAATAAATAAAAAAAACCCCAAACATGAAACCCATCAAAAACACCCCCCCCACCCCGCCTCAAACCACCCCACGCTGTACTGTGGCTGCATCAGCCAGGCTTTGTATCTCTCTACTAGGAGGGTCAAGAAAATCCAAGTATCCTGGCTACCACTCTACGACTTCTTCGGGACCACTCCCTTTATGAATAACCGAAGACATAAATGCCTACAGGCTCACAGGAATCCATGACAGAAACAGAATTTGTACTTTCTCCACTAATCACAAAGCTCAGCCAGCAAAACGCTGTTATTCTGCACACATTAAGCTCTCAAATTATCCTGAAGATGTTTCACTTGCCCCTTTTACCTGCAGAGGTTTGACATGTGAACAGTGACATGAAATTTCACTGCCTCCCTCCAGTAGGAGATACGTTACACCTCTCCTTACTATTACTTTCAACATGATATAAATAATCAAATTATCATGAAGATGTTTCACTTTCTCCTTTACCTGCAGAGGTTTTGCATGTGAACAGTGACATGAAATTTCACTGCGTCCCTCCAGTAGGAGATACGTTACACTTCTCCTTACTATTACTTTCAACATGATATAAATAAGCAGTTTCCCTCCGGGTGAGCTAATAGAAACCATGACTTTCATTTAGGAGGAGGTTATGCCTATTATTAATCACTTTTTATTAATAAACTCTTATAACATAGGGTAAAAATTCAGTGCATCCCAGAAGGCGTCATTAGTAAATTTACAATCATTACAAAGCAGTCATATAATAGCTAGCCATTACATCGTGGCAAACAGCACGTGTAAGAGGTGTTAACCCCTTAGACACACCTACAGCTTAACATGAGAAAACTTTGTGAGTTTGGGGGTTTGTTTTGTTTTGTTTTTTTAAGATTAAGTCAATGTCATCAGACTACTAAAAGATGTTGCCTGTTGACTGGGGAACCAGCTGTTCATGCAGCAAATACTTCCAGAAAAGCTGAGTGCCTGCTCCTGCCAGCAAATCAGTTGTTGCTAATTGTGATCTCCCAGCTAATCCTGCAATTATAGCGTAATACATTTCAGTCTCGGGTTGTTTTCAAAGAGGAACAAAAAAAAAAAAAACCTAAGCACCCTTTCAATGCGTATTTGCCAGTCTTCTGTCAAGTCCTAGCAAACGCAGGGCTGTGGCGTTAGGGTCAGGTTAACCAGACGAAGATCAGTTGCATCCAAGGTACATAGCGGTGAGCTCATCAAGCTGCTTCACGGTTTAGAAGCGGAGCGCTTGCTTCCGCAGGGATTTTATGCAACTGGCTCGTACGGTTACCTCGTTTCCAAAGCACACACCTTTTGGCAGCGCACGCAGCCTCGATGGGGAAAACAACCCCTGACTTCTGGCCAGAGAGGGGTGACCTGTTCCGTCCACCTGACAGGTACCTGCTTGGAGGCTGCCTTAACCCCTACCTGTTGAAAACTGAGCAGCGCCGGCTGAGAACATTAAAAAACGGTTGGACTAGCTGACCTCTAGGGGTCCCTTCCAACCCAAACCGAACGGTTCTATGAAAACCACCAAGTTTGTTTATCGTGAGCACCTGGTGGCACTCTACGTGCCGGGCTCCCTTCGAAATTCACCCTCCCTTCCAGGTTTAACCTCCCTCTCTCCCTCAGCTCCCAGATCTCCCAAAGGGCTCTTCCCCCCCACACACCCCCCCACCCCCGGGCGAGGGGAACCCCCCGAAGCCGCCCAGGGCCTCC